AGAAGAAGAAGAAGAAGAAGAAGAAGAAGAAGAAGAAGAAGAAGAAGGGAAGGAAGGAAGGAAGGAAGGAAGGAAGGAAGGAAGGAAGGAAGGAAGGAAGGAAGGAAGGAAGAAGGAAAATGCCCCCATAATCTGAGTGGAGGCAACTCCACAGCCCAGAGTCTTTCTTCCCAGTTGTGTCTAGGCTCATGTCAAATGGACAAAAACAACCAGCACACACTATTCCTCTACCGTTAAAACGGTGGTGTTTGTTTTTATTGTAAGATTTCTAAGGTGGAAACTCAAATGGAGAGACACCTCAAAAGTACTTTTACTACCTATTTTTTCAAGAAATGAGAGAGAAGAGAGTCCAGGAACACCCAGTTTCGCTGAGAGCAGGGACTGCTCTGGCTTACTCTCCCAGTGACCAACAAATTACCTAACACATAGTAAACACTGGGTAAATACCTGCGCACTGAGTCACCACATAATTTTAAGTTAAGGGCTTCCCTTTAAAAGGAAAAAAAAATGTGCATCAGTTTTCAATTTAAGGTAATTCATCCTAAGGTAATTCATCCTATCTGAAGCCTCCTTATGAATTCAAGTAGTTCATGGTAGGAGGCACACACTGTGGCTCAATGGATTAGCACTCATTTGCCTGCGATCCTGACTGCCAGTCTTCCAAACAGTGTCTGGGGAAGGTTTTTCTCCCTGGGAGCTGAGTAGTGAATTTACAAATCTGGCTGTCTGGGGTCAGACCTCCTGGGATGAATTCATTTGTTTCTCAGCAGGAGACGAAGCATCGCTTTGCACAGTGCCTTCTGATCTGTCATAAAAATCTGGAGGCTCTGAGTTCAGGCAAATCTTGAGAGCTGCTAGAAGGCCCTTTAGGTAAATCATTGTTTGTATTCCCCATTGCAGAGGGGAAGAAAAACAGTCTGTCTGTATTCAGACTGTACTGACAAGAAGGCACCGGGTGATCATTCCATAAACACCAAGAACAATTCACAAGTAATAAACCAGGAACACAGTGTCTCAGGGCTTTCTGTTTTGCATAATGAGCGTTTTCCTTCTTTAATATTTTTCATGAGACAGTAAATTCTAGCTGTCAATCATCTCTCACATGAGTGACACATATTGCTATATACACTGTCCAAGTTCTCTACTATGCTAATGTTAAGGTGGAGAATGTAGAGAGCATGTTACATTGTTATAAAGAATTATGTTTTGAAGTTCTTAAAATTCACATAGAAAACGTCTCCTTCCTGCAGTTGGCACAGTGGTATTTGCCTGTAATCTAGTACTCAGGAGGCAGAGGCAGGAGGGTAACAAGTCTGAGGCAGGCCTGAGCTACATTGGAAGACACTAGCTCTAAAAAGAAGAGAAAGTGCCTTCTGGTGATGCTGATAAAGGAAACGTTTGTCTCTCAGAAAATATTGTTCAAAAGCATCATTGGCCTCTTGTGTCATTTCTTGAGTTTCAGTGTCATTAATCTTCTTGAAAAGAAAACAAACAAACAAAAAGGCACCTCCTCGACCATTTTTAAAGCCTTTGAGTACATGCATACAACCAGTTGAAGACACATGCCTATCAAATGTCTTCAGACCTGACTGGAAACCTGGCAGGTTTTTCTGTCTCCAGTTACTCCCACCACAGGGCAAAGCAAGAGGGATCTGAGGCAGAAAGACTTGTTGAACATCATCTAAAGCATTAACCTCCAGCTTAAGTACACACATGTGCGTACACACACACACACAAAAGCATACATGCCTATGTCACACAGAGGAAAGAAAAGAATTTCATGAGTGATTATCATCGAAAGGCATATAAAGTTGATCAAAACCTATTAGGTAATAAGCAGATCCTTTCCATAATTTATATGGTGTTTATGGTGTTTCATTGACCTGC